ATGCCAATTGCCGTTCTTTATGGATTTCTCCCAATTTTATCCCCAAAGAGGGTTTTTTGGGAGTTTTTTCTCCTGTCAGGTAATAAATGAACAACTTCATGTAAGGCAGCCGACTGAGGCAAATGTCTTGAGAATTGGACCACATGAACTGTCTTAGATCTTAAGATGAAGTGTGATGAACGGTGATCATTAATGATGGGTTGTTGTAATGAAAGTGTACTAGTTATAAGATGAAGACTTAAACAATGTATGCTTTGTTAAATTCACTTATTGAGGCATAAAGCCGAATGTATCTACATTGAGTGCATTGGAATGTGAGGGACAGCTAGGACAGAGAGGTTTCAGGTTACAGCTGCAGATTCACACCTCGACGTGGAAGGGACAATGGAGGAGGAGACCCTTTGGAGAAGAGGCCAATGACATTCAAATGCACCAAAGAAGACACACCTCAAGAGTTTTCAAAGGACCATGGCGGGGGAAAGACTGTTAGAATTTCTCCTGCAGCCGCGTTGATAAGTCATTTTAGACTTGCTCAGAGGATTCTCTATTTCGCGAAATATTCCACTGTTCGCTTAGTATTTCACTTTGTAATTGTAATCCCTATTACGTTGTTCAGTTATTAAATAACTTTTGATTTTTGAATTTAAACGAATTGACTCATTCGTGTCCTCGTTTCCGGCCGGGACGAGAACAAAGGATTGAGTCCTCCCTCGAGAGCCTTCCGAAACCTTAACAGTTCATCTTTCAATTGTATCCAATTACAGCTGTTCTTGAAAAGCATTATTCAAAGCCACTGGAGTTGGTGTCCAACAGGGGAGTTTTATGTATGTGAACTAAACAAAAAGCCTTTAAAACTTCTATAATGTCATTTTGTTGGCATTAAAAAAACATTCCTGTTCAATATGTCACTCAACTTAAGCATCATATACAGCTTTAAAAAAGTGTTGCAACAGGCACGTAGTTTCTATGCAGGACTGTTACGTGCCTCGGCCTGCTTGGGGGAGGGGGTGTGTGTGTGTGTTTTGATTTGTGTTCCCACAGGGGTTCTGACACACCCACCATGCAGTAATCTCCACTGCCCGCTCCCACCTGCAGCCACTAATCACCCTCACCCACAGCCAATCAACTGCAGGATGCCATGACTTAAAAGGAGGTCGGGAGGGAGAGACCGGGGAGGCAGAGCTGGTGGAGAGAGCGGAAGGACTGTTGCGAAAAATAACTTTTTGAAGGAACTATTGTTTTGAGCGGAGCTGGGTTCAAGTGACAGTTCTTGTGTTTTGTTTACATATGTATTTGGGTCATTTGAACTGGTGACGGTTAAGTTATTGTTGTTATTCTGTCTGTGGTTATCACGTTGTTTGTACTATTCATTTTTTGGTTTCTTCAGTTGTCCCAGGGAAAAGGGGACCGCACAATGGGAGTGTGTAGGTAAGAGACCCTGGGGTTTACATACTACCCGTAGATAAACCTCTGTCTATATACACTAGGTAAGACCTGGGCGGACCACCCCCTGTATTTATCAGAGAGTTTAGCAGATTGTGTTTGGACTAGATAGGTTAGGGGTCATTTTCATTGGTTGATTTCTTTGCTTTGGTTCCGCTCAGCCCCTTTTCCCCCAATACCGTATTATAGGTGAAATAAAAAAATACTTGAAAAGAGGATGAGAGGGGTGCCTCAGGAGAGGAGTCTGATGGATCCTCTGATGTAAAAACAGAGGATGGTGTAGAGGAAGAGGTTGCTCGTACTCCTGTTACGTTGCCCCGGTTTGACCCTTTGTCTCCTCCTTCAGGTCATTCTAATGGCGCTGCTAAGCTCAAAATGAGCCTGGCCAGGTTGGAGATGGAGCTAAGGGAAAAAGAGAATATTCGACAAAGAGAGTTCGAGTTAGAAATTCGGAAATTGGAAATAGATAAGGAAATTAGAATTCGACAACTGGAGCTAGAGGCTGGCTCCCGTGTGAGTCCGTCTTCTGCTCCGCCTCAGGCTCACTTTGATGTGAGTAAGCATATTGCTTTAGTACCGCCATTTAGGGAATCAGAAGTTGATTGTTATTTTTCTGCTTTTGAGCGTGTGGCAGCTGCGCTGCACTGGCCACTCGAGGTTTGGTCACTTCTCTTACAGTGTAAACTGTCCGGGAAGACCCAAGAAGTTGTTGCTGCTCTCTCCCTGGAAGATAGTTTCGAATACAACGTTGTAAAAGCTACCGTTCTTCGCGCGTATGAACTGGTTGCCGAGGCATATAGGCAGAGATTTAGGAACCACAAAAAGGCTTTGAATCAAGCCAGAGACAAAGAGTCTTTGTTTGATCACTGGTGTTCAGCCAGCAAAGTTACAGATTTTGCTGGTATCCGAGAGTTAATTTTGTTGGAAGATTTTAAAAACACTCTACCTGAGCGTCAGGTGGTTCATTTGTGTGAACAAAAGGTGGCAACGTTGGCTCAGGCCGCAGTGTTGGTCGATGTGAGCCAGATGCGGGAAAGATTGCATGACGCATGTGCAGTAGCCCAAGAGACCATGTCTAACTCTCAACAAAGAATGAAACTCCAATATGACCGGAAAGCAGTTAGCCGTGACTGGAAACCAGGGGATCAGGTTTTAGTTCTGTTGGGCGTAACAAGGACACTATGAGTGTGTTCCATTAAAACGCAGAGTATTTACTGCGTGGCCTGAGTTCAGGGCCGGCCTTTTGCTGCGTGTCATCCCGCATCTATCCTAAATATAAGCATTCCGCAACGTTCATCTGCCTGAAAGCCTTTTCCACATATTTTTGTTATGTCACAAGTCTTGCAAAAAAGAAAAGCTGTAACAGTGCATATTTTAACACTAAATGTAGCACAACAGTTTGGCAAATACACTGCAGTGTGAAATGAAAATTGCAAAACCCCATGCACACTACAGCAGATGAACCCATTATCACATTCATAAACATCAGCAAATGTTAGATTGCAGACAATATGTGGGTGTTTTAACCTGCATGCTCTCGTATGTGTCTCGGAGAAGCTCTGGCTCATATGGCTCTGCTGAGGACGTTCAAGTTTGTGTTGCCTGAGGATGCAGCAGAGCTGGATAACAAGCTTATTTTTGGGACGATTTAATATTTTATTTTGAAATACGGTCAAGATTTAATCCAAACTCCATTCCTGATTCAGTATTGATTCCTCATTCATTAGGCCTACGTTGGGGGGCTAATAAAGGCAGTGGGGCCAAATATAATATTATGGGAGTTTTCCCTAATTATGTCAATAATGTTAACAAAGAAAAGGCTGAAAAGTTAACATTGATTTATTTTAAAACTGCTTAAATATTATAGTATTTTATTTAATAAAAATGATGCCTGTTGTATTACTACGACTAGCAGACTTTTCATTCCCATTTCAAATATTTATTGTACACAAAATAACACTGTTGAACTGGTATGGTTAAATCATGAACATTGTGTCCAAGCATTATGTCCATGGCGACATGTTATAATTGTAAAATTAGAAGAAATAAAAGTAGATTTTTAAAGATGACTATTTACATCAATGAATAAGTTAATCTGCCGCTTAGATTTTGGAAAATTAACTTGTGTACAAGGACATTTGAACCGGTGGGTAGCAGGAGAGGTGACACACTGCAAGTCAACAGAATATAAACCTGAACTACAACGTGGGTGGCTTCCTGAAGAGTGCAGAGCTGTGATCAAGTGACTGCACAGACCTCAGCTTTTATCAAGTGGATCACTTCTCAGCAGTGAGGATGTGGACAGACGTCCCGTCATGTCGGTCACAGTGGGACATTTGATCAACTTGATTCATTATTTTCAAGCCTACTTTGCTATGGAGGAGAAATCTGCACACCTGGATCGGAGCAGTTGCTGGGGCTGCTTTATGAATATGTGTAGGGGACGCTATCAAGCCAAAATGCTCTTTGGAAGCATTGACATCATATGAAGTAACTACATCTGTTGAGTTGGGTTACTCGCATTCTTGCAGCTAACGTTGCATTCGGAGGAAAAGAGCGGACGATTCAGATGAGCCATCTTTAGCCGTCTTCGGCATATTTATTTTACGAGCTGCCGCTGACACATCAGTCTCACGGTCAGACAGCCTTCATTACTTCTTATAAAAAACGGCAAAACATTTGGGACAAACAAAACAGCAATGCAAATGAGTGCCCCCTTGTGGCTCATGCACAACACAGATCAGCACTGTACTACACCATCATCACAACTGAGGACATAATGAACATATCCCAACAACATCTTTAACTGTGAAGATGGCATTGAGCCAATAGTGATTCCCTAAAACTTGCATGAGAATTGGATCCAGCATCTGGGAGGAATTCGCAAAAAGTTTTTTTTTTTACAAAATTCAAAATGGCGGAATATCTAGTTGGGTGCATTTGTATACCATGATTGACTTTTTTTGTAGTTAATTGGTGAAACTAGGCAAAAATCTCCTCAGAGGGAGCACTTCCAGGGGGAATTAGAGAGACATTTTTTCATACCCATATGCACAACCCCCAAAAATATATAGATATACATTTTTTGCACTTAAGGCGCACATGATACGCATGCCAAAATTCAAGAGTTTTGGAAACACAATAGGGCTTAGGCCCTGATTAAACTACCCCTCATCGACGGGCAAAATAACACCTAAAGTGGGCTGGTACATTTGCTCTGCTGCACAAGCCTCACAGTAGGATATATTGAGTTCACAACAAGGCGAAGACATTGTGAATGAATGACAGAAATGATAAGGGAGGCATTCTGGTATAAAGGTGCTCTGAATCCTACACTATTCAGTAGCCTTCTGATGATTGGACAGTGGTGTATTTTTGGAGCTTTTGTGTGGATGCTGTATTGTTTTGCTAGGTGGTCTCTTGGTTGTCAGCGGGAGGCCCGGGGGTAACTATGGGGGGCATGAATGGTTTGTGTATGTGTGTGTGCTGACATGGACCTTCCATGATGACCTTATGTCAGATGACTGGGGTGCCAGGGAGAACCGAGAAAGAGAGCGGCAGGATTAAATGAGAACATATTGAACAGTAAAAGAGAAATTGAAAACAAAAAGACAAGGTGAGTTTGTGTTGACAAGGACAGCTAAAGAGACGGTTTGACCAAATGAAATGGAATCAAAGAGACTGAGACAAACTTGGGATTATCAGTAATGGATCATCAGAAGTGGAGTTCCTCAAGCATGGACTAGCTTGGGTGTCTGCGTACACACACATACTCTTTCTACAAACACACACTTTGGTTTCCTGTTGTTAGCCGTCTCGGTGGTGGACAGGACAGTATGCAGGAGTCTCCAGGTGCCGTGGGTGTAGATGGCAGCTACGCCAGCAACGTTCCAGCCTTTCTCACCAAGCTGTGGACCCTAGTGGAGGATCCAGATACCAACCTCCTCATCTGCTGGAGCGCTGTGAGTCCATCTGCACACCACATCACATCATAGTTACTCTGTGAGGAATTTCATTTCTGTTCACAAACCATCTCCTCGTAATCAACCATTTTATAATATTCCCATTTGAATATAGCAATAAAATATAATGTAAATCAACATAAGTCACAAAAGGCGTGACTCAGCGGCTGCTTGGTGGTCTCATGCTGCCTTCTAGACAAATATGAGTTTTCCCAGAGGAAATTTCCATCTTCCAAACTTTAACTCTTCCAGGTGCACAGCGCCAAACAGAAACAAAAAGCATGGGCGACTGTGAACATGAACCAATGTTTCTTTGTCAAGCATACACATAATTGAGCTCTAAGCAGTGTAGCCCCCTTTGCATTATTAATGTTTTCCCATAGAACCTTTGTGCAGAGAAGATATATTTCTGTTGTTCTCTACGGTAACCAGCTACCCAACAATATTGCAGCATATTTAAATTATCTACTAGCATGCAAAAAAGTTTTTGCTATTTAATATTGTCATTAAATGCAGGCAAATTAACTTTACACCATATTGTTTACTTCCAAATGTATATAAAGTGAAGTAACTATAGAAATCTGACACATCATTTTGTCATGTCATTGTCACAGATGCATTCAATTGTACTGTTATTGTGGAGCTAGGTGAGTTACTTTATGTTCAGTAGTATGGTCCCAAACAATTATTTTAAATAAAACCATTTTAGCAACTTGGATGGTACATCACTGTTTATATACCATGAAGGTGCTTTGTTAGGTTTTCTCCCTTCAGTTAAGTGAGGAGTTTCTTTCAGTAGTTTGTGTTCTTTGATGTTAAAAGTACATTGTGATTATCTCACTTTTGAATTTTACCATAAAAAAGCACATTTGACCTTGAACCCACAGATGAGCAGCAACATGTCTAGTTCGGGGAGGGAATAGAGGTGCTTTGTTATTCAATGCTTTTAAAACTATACAATTTCTATAGTTAGATTTAACAACGTTGTCTAGATGAACCCCAAGTGGGTTTGTTGTACAGGAAGTGAGTTTTGCAGGATTGATGTGTGTACTTCACTGAACAGGAAGAGGACAGCTTCTCTTTTCTTCTTGCTAGGGACTCAAACACGCAGAAGGAAGCTCTCCAGTCCCATGACATGCGTAGCTAGACTGTGCACCATCAGCAGCTGCATTGTCAGTCTATTAGAAGAGAAATGACAATTTATATATGGTAACAGCTAGGTCTTAGAAATTAGAAATGTTTAAACTTCTTGAATTTCTCAATGGTTTGGCTTTTCCTCAATGTAAGTGTTTTTAACTTTGTAGCTTTTTTTTTACATTAAAGCAATTCTACAGTTGCATAGAAAGATTGCAATGTTGCGAGAGACCATGACTAATCACACAAAGTGGGAGAGATTGTTTGTTTGATTGGCTGACTAAGCTGATTTAGGCTTCTAATGAATATAATATATAATGACTTCATGCAGAAAAACATAATAATTAAAAAGTTCAACATGTCTGTATATCCAGATGCCTAAATATCTATATGCTCAGTATTAGTATGGATTTTATGAGTGTTGAGCCTGATGAGCCTGATTTTCTAAACCAGTATTTATGATAACCAAATGCATCATTTAGTGAGAGGTTTTGGCATCTAAGTTACACTTTTTGTCACACTAAGCAACTGCCAGCAGTAACCAGATAAGTTAAGTCATTTGATTATTGTGAAGTAAAAACAATGATCAGAATGAAAATAGTAAAAAATATTTGACCAGGCTCTGTCATGTCTGTTTTGACTATAGATTGAGCTTCCCTGACTTTTCTCTATTTCAGTCTGGGACCAGTTTTCATGTGTTTGACCAGGGACGCTTTGCCAAGGAAGTCCTTCCAAAGTACTTTAAACACAACAATATGGCCAGCTTTGTTCGACAGCTCAACATGTGTGAGTAACCTACACGTCTCTCCTTGTCTTGTCTCTTCTAATTTAAGGCAGGCACTGATACTCTGTGTGTTGCCTTGTGTGTGTGCAGATGGATTCCGTAAGGTGGTCAACATTGAGCAAAGCGGCCTGGTGAAGCCCGAGAGAGACGACACAGAGTTTCAACATCTTTACTTCCTCCAGGGACACGAACACATGTTGGAACACATCAAGAGGAAGGTATGGACACACCTACAGTAAAATAAGATACTAATACGAGAAATACATTATGTACTAGAAGTCAAATATTGGACAGAAAACATAAAAGCGTACGAAGCTATGAGATATTTGCCATTGACCCTGTGTAGTCACACCTCACTGTCAAAAGCTCTTAGTTGTCACTCCCTTGCGGCAAGCCGCATTGGTTCTGATTTAGTGGTGATGTATGCAAGTGAAATGAAATCTCTGGAGCAAGAGTTTGCGGTTTTTACTTTCCTGTCATTCTTAAGTCACAGCTTATTCTAATGAGAGCACTAAAGACATTTAGCCTCTGCTTGTACAAACTGGACTGGATTTCGTTGAAATGTTTACATTTTGTAGATTGTCATCTTAATAACATAGGAAGACTTTATTTTCGACATAAGACACATAGATGTTTGGCAAAGGCAGGTAGAATGGGAAATATTATTGATGCCGAGATGGTAGCTTGTAAGATGCTAGGAGTGTAACTAATGTTTACAGTTTGCCATATTAGTTGTGCTTGCTAACATTAGTTTATTTGCAATAAACAGAAATGATGCGTGACGTTGAAGGGAAACATTAGTTTTAGTTTTTAAAAAATGTTGCTCCAATGATGAAAACGTAGATGAAAAGGTAGGGAATCACCAAGGTTACTATAATTTGTTGCAAGGGGGACATACATGTACCAAAATCCTTACAGTCTGTCCTCTACCATTCAATGGCATTGCACTCAAAACCACCATTTTTAAACTTATGGTGGAGAAGTCATGGGCTTCTTCACCTGGGGACAACAGATGTCTGAAAAAAAACGTTGTTAACCCACCCAATAGTTGTTGACTATTAAATGGACCAACTGGAGTCACGCTGCTGCATTCACTTTCTCAGTTGCTCACTGCAGGTGCTGCATCTGAGCAACTTAACAAATCAGGCTGTGCTTTGTGTTCAGGTGTCCATAGTAAAAAGCGAGGAGACCAAAGTCCGTCAGGAGGACCTCAGTAAACTGCTCTATGAAGTCCAGCTTCTCCGAACACAACAAGACAACATGGAGTGTCAGATGCAGGACATGAAACAGTGAGTATAAAGATTTTGGGGCTGTGCCATAACCCACAGGACATTTCCATTGCAATGAAGGCAACTGTCCCAGGGCCAAAAATGTCATGTGAAATTTGTATTTCACTTTGTGTATTGATTAAATAACTGCTATTTTGTTTGGAAGTTAGCATGTTGTACCAAGTTTTAAGGTGATTATTCAGGTTAATATTCTATTTAAATTTCAAGTTCACAGGTCAGGCTAATGTGACACAGCGATGTCTATGTCAGAGGGAAAAGGGGGAAGAGCAGTTGACCGGTTTCTTATTCCTTTTGCTAAATTGGAACAAATCATCCAGTAGATGAACTGACTTTTTCTCTAGAGGCTATTGTGTCTATTGTGAGGTAGAGCTGCTTTGTGATGGTTATTGTTTGCTAACGTGAGGAGAGAATGTTCAGCTGACCAGCGCACATCAATAAAGACATTCTTAGAAAGGATGAGCAGATCAAAGGCCAGGGATCTGGTTTGGAGAACGCTCTCTCAAAATATTACACCACAGACATCAGTATTTAGTGCCCGCACTAAACTTATTCTCAATTTTCTAAAAAAGAACGTATTGAGCGGCTTGACTCTGAAAGTTCACTCACTTTGCATTACATTTAGAGGGATGGACTGCACTTCCAAAAACACATTGACCTGCCCCTCCCAATGTCCCAGCATGGGACTGTCAATTCTCTTGAGAAGCCAACTGGGTGACCAGGGGGCGCAATACGCAGCTGAGTGATGTGGTACCAACACACAGTAAAGAAAAGACAGAGATACAAATACAAATATAAAGTTTGTGTGACCACTTTTATTTTAAGAGAACAGCAATGCTGATTCACACCTCAGCACACATGCATATCACGCACAGCGTTCTACATGAATTCCATACATCTATCAAAAACAAGCACCTCAAAAACAAAAAAGGGGCCAGAGTCAAGCCGCAGACAGTGAGTGAGCAATCAAAGTGGAGAAAGCAGCCACAGCACATTGTGGCCCTTCTTTAAAGTCACCAAAGTTACCATAGTTAGTGTTCTGTGCGCACGCATCACAAAAAGTCATGTGTGTTCCCTTTGTATGCAGTAAACAATGCATCAATAACTCTTTTCTGGGTCAAAACACAGCAATTTACATTACATGTTGATTTCATTAATCTAAACACACCTGAATCTCTTACCAAACAGTTTGGGGAGTTAGGTAATGTACCTAGGTGCCATGTTTGTGCCATCAAAAATAGAATGGAGTATGTGAAATTGAGCCAACCACATCTCTTGCTCTGCATCAGTTTTGAGATGTCTAGAAAGGTCCAACTTGGGCCCAACAGTTTTTTTTAAGTGTACAACGCTAAATCAATTCAGTGATCTTCTTGGTTTCCAGTGCAGGTTCCAGAGCGACATCTATATTTATTTTTTTACATAAACTCAAGGCCAGCATTTTTAAGAGCAAACTATTTGGAGGCATCAAACTGTTTTTGGTTGGAGGGGCGTATCCATTGTATAGACCTAATTCCTGGTTTAGTGTCAGTTGAGTGAACAAACAACTTTGAGTTTGCTTCATATGTTTCACCAAGTAATAATGAAAAAAAGCTAAATCGGATTTAGTTTGTCTTATTGCTCCCTCCTCTTCCTCCCCCCTCCTCTTCCTCCTCGGGTCTGCAGGCAGAATGAAGTGCTGTGGAGAGAGGTGGTCTCACTGAGACAGAACCACACACAGCAACAGAAAGTCATGAACAAGGTCAGTCTAAATGCGTGTGTGTCTCTGTGTGTGTGTGTGTGCCCTGAGGGGGATACTCTCACATTAACAACAACTCTTTATTGTGGTACAGCTACTCTGCAATTAGAGGAATAAGACACACTAAAGTTACATTTCAGGAAAACTATTGTGTAAGATAGAATCCAAAATATGTGATGTGTGAATGTCAAATTACATTTTTGGACATGATGAAAGAGGGTAAGTGACAAGCAGGAATTAATGTGTTAATTAATGTGTGTGTGTATGTGTGTGCTTGTGTGTGTGTGTTTGTGTGTGTGTGTGTGGGGGGGGGGGGGGGGGTGGTTATGTGAGGATGCTGATTCATGCTGTGCTTTTTCTCTCATTGCCAGCTGATTCAGTTTCTGTTCAGCCAGATGCAGTCCAACACACCCAGCACTGTAGGCTTAAAGAGAAAGCTGTGAGTATACGCATGCGTGAGTACGTGCACACACACAAACATGGACATACACAGTGGAGAAATCAACAAAAGTGAGACGTGAGACAAACAGGGCCTGTGCTGCATAGGGAAGGGCTGGCTCAGCTGACAAACTGGACAATCTAACTCAACAAATGCTGTGAATGGTAACAATTGCTGAATCAGTCAGACACACACACACACACACACACACACGCACACACCTGTGTGTGTAAAGCGCTGGATCAGCGTTGCTACTGAGTGTGAACAAGGCCGGCATGAGAAGTGAAAGGCACGCTGAAAAACAAAAGTGCTTTAGAAACGTGTATTTCAGGATCAGAGTGAACAATGCCCCGTGCTTTAATCTACACATCTACACATGAACTATCTAAAAAAAACAATAACTAAACCTGTAGTTGGTCGAGACCAACGGAAAAATATGATACCTCAGCTCAAACGAACTGCATTAACAGGGACAACTGAGGGAGTTCCTCGAGTTCACTCTGACTCTGAACTCAAATGAAACTCTCAGAGAGTCTACAACCACGTTAGTGACTGTGGGAGGCTTAAGCGGCTCAAACCACATGCTTATGTTGATGTTGAGAAAGTATAATGTTTTCCATGATCACCATCTTTGTTTTATAAATCGTGTTATCTTAAGAATACCTGTGTGATGTTTTTGGCCAATCGTGTGTGGTGTGCTTCCGTAAACCGGTGGCCAATTCGGTCACACTTTTGTTTACATGTTCACATTGATAACGTAGCAGCTTTTTACTCATAAATATTTGAATGGCACTTGTGTGACTCCATGCGTCTGTACAGCTGGAGGAGCTTCGCCTGACAGGGAAAGAGCAGATCCAAATCCAGCGTGATAATAAATGACATCGACAAGTTAAAGGGAACTCATTAACGCCCTGGCGTTGTCAGGGCTTATCAATACTCCAGCAATGTAGCACTGTAGTCAGATAACACATAATGCAAAGCCAGTGTCCGCTGTAGAAACATGGCAGTTCAAGACGGCTGACTCCGTGGAAGAAAATCTCCTCAAGACTACAACTGGCTGTGATTCTTAGTTTTAGGTGATAGAACACTGTTTAAAAATAGTTAAGAATATTGTATACAATTGCTGCCAATTAATCCCCTTAAGCGTAAAACACAGTTCCTTTAACTAAATACAACGTGGCTGACATTTCTTTACTTTCACTTGAAGTGTAATATTACCACTAAAGAGTTGATGGCCTTTCTTAAATGTTTTGATAATGACATTCAGCATTAGTAATTATGAATAAGAGTAAAGTGAGGCTGTGATATGCACTAAACAAAATCTAACATGTGTACCATTCAGCTACTTTATCAGATCCAAGGTATTTACCTAATAAATCTTTCTTTGCAACAGCTTCTGTCCATTGGTTGGAACTCTAATGATGATGCCCTAATCCAGGGGTCACCAAACTTTTTTCTCTGGGGTCCACTTTATCGTTCCTGACTGTGATGCGGGGCCGGGGGCCGGGTCAGCTATATAAAATAGAATTGTATGACCCAGATCAAAATGACCACCAGCAGGCCTCATTGTGTAGTAGAGATTACTACGTTCTTTCAGTTAAACTTGCAGCTCTTTAACTTTAACGTTAAATGCCGGTCACATCGTCTCTAAACAGTCCGCTCACAGTGAAGTCCTGCGCGGAAGTTTAAAAAAAAAAAAGAATTCACCAACACCGCGAAACATTTCGGCACAGAGGGACAAAAGGTCCGCAAGTGAGTACAATTACATTTTGGAAGTAACTTGCCCAACACTGTCAGCACCGACTTCGCCTCAGGCAACATCGCAACCAGCGAGTGAATCGGAAGTGAACTGAACGTTATGCCATGACGACTTTTGGGGATTGCCTCATTGGGCCGGTTCAAGTAGTGGGGGGCAGAGGGGCTGGGGGGCCAGTCAAAGGGGGGTGGTGGGCCTGAGTCGGCCCCCGGGCCTTAGTTTGGTGACCAATGCCCTAATCTCACAGAGTGTTATGAGTCAAGATTCGTAACTGATTGAAAACAAATGTTCCCTCCAGGCCCTTGATGTTGGACGATGGTTCTCCCGGCGATCCGGGCTCCAAGTTCAGCCATAGTCACCCGACGGAGCCCATGCATGAGCTTTTCTACATCCAGTCGGTGAGAAAATATGAAAGCTATGCACCTTATTCTTCTACTACATTCTTAGTAGTGCAAGTCCAGTGAACAACCATATATATATATATATATATATTTTTTTTTTTGTTAAATTATCTTTTTTCTTAAATTCATTAGAATAAAAAATAAATCTCCCAATGAATTATTAGTGCACTGCCATCTTGTTATTATTTTTGTTGCAGAGAAAAATGAAACATAGGAAACATATTGCCCCACAGAAAGAGACAGAGCAGTAACCATACAGTGGCTCTTCTCTATGTCGTAGCTTTTGCTTCAGCTGTAGTTCTTTCTCAGAGTGCAGTAAGTGTTGATGGCGGGTTTTATAGCCCAGATGTTACAGGCTACAATGATTGCTTCCTGGACCGCTTTACAATACCAGGATGCAGGTACTGCGGTTTACCTCGGTATATAACTTCATTTTGTAGTTATGGCCCGTTTTGATGTCATGGAATTACATTTCTGCGCCGTTTTGTTTTCATATGGTGAAACCCATGTTTATTGATTCTGGCTCTTGTCGACCAGCTATGTGCGTAAGTGTTTCGCAGTGCAGTACAGGTCTGTAAATCTGTAATGTCACTTTACAAACAACGTAGAAATTCTAAATGAACAACACAGTGGGCCAAAGACTGAGAAAGCGCAAAAAATAGTTAAGAAAACGAAAACCAGCAGACATTTCCTCTTCTTGCTCCGCAGCCATCCAGTGATACTGCCTCTTGCTCTACCAGTGGGCTGAGAGGAGGACCGATAATATCCGATGTAACTGACATGTCTCAGCCCAGTATGCAGCCTGATGAGACGAGGTGAGCGAGGAAATGTAGCATCCCTATTTCCCATTATAACCTGTACAAATACAGAACCCGGCATAAAACCCTTGTGGGAAATATGTTGTGTAAAACAGCATTATCAATATGTTCTGATAGAGCATTTTACTGCGGCAACAGGGAAAAGTGCATGATGCTTATCAAAGAGGAGCCTGTGAGTCCAGGGGTGCGAGGAGGAAGGAAAGGAGACAATGCAGGGGGAGAAGATGCCGTAGCGTTGGCGTCCTCCTGTGAGGTGTGCTCCTCAGAACCTCCTGTGCTCCCCGTCGCGATGGTCCAGTCTGTTCTGGAGGGAAGGGGCTCCCTGGCCTCTATGGTGGAGAGGAGAAGTAAGAGACCTGCCCTGGACAGGTGAGCTCACACCGGATTCCATTGAGACATGTGTATGCAAGGTGTCGAGGTACACACAGATGTTTGCACGGACACAGAAGCGATGCCCAATCGACTTTGTGTGTCTGTGTTTGTTTGTGCGCTCAGAGTGGAGGTTTCCGATGCGGTGGAGAACGTGGACATGAGCCTGGAGGAGCTGCAGCAGCTGCTGCTCAGGAGCCATCAGCAGAGCACTGTGGACGCTGGGACCAGTTCTGTTCTGGATGTCAGTTGACCTGCGCTAATCACAAACAAACGTACAACTTGTTTAACTGCACATACATTCCGTCATGTCTAAAGTGGTATCCGTCTCTGCCTCTCAAAGACCACAATGGCCTTGATTCCATAACATACTGATCTACTAAACGTCTGCTCACTCCTGTTTCTCTTTCACTCACTTTCTCTCTGCAGCCTTTCAGTTTAAGTCTTCCTCTGACTGAGTGGAACTTCACAGAGATTGAGTCCAACCTGAAATCAGTAAGTCATATAGTGTGGAAATTATATGGACAGACCTTAGAGATTGTTTTCTACTCCAGAGTGAAAGGACTTTCTCCCTTTAACCATTTTATTGCAGCTTTGCTACTTAACTGCTTTGTTGTCTCACCAAAGGCTCTGCATAATTATTCCTTACTTATTACACAACTCATTTTTGACTCTCCTGTTTTGTCTGCCGTGAGGTTTTCACAAAAGCCTCCTTTAGTAGTCTATCCGTACTCTATCAATGTGAAACTTTATATGTGTACTGTCCACAAACTGGCCTATCACATGGATGTGGTTTGGACCGTATATCTCCTATAGGGCTGTTTTCTTTTTTGAACTTTTTGTTGTGAAATATTGCTGTATTTTCTTGCCAATACATACTTAATGTATTATTATGTGTTATGCCAATAAGGAGTTAAGGGTATTAAATATGTACATGTTCACAGTACATGTTCCAGAACCAGGAAGCCGAGGCTTTTCCAGCGTCTGGCTGTGAAGAGCAGTGATCCATCTGCGCTGTGGACGGTTTTCAAAAAGGAAGGTAATGATTCTGTGATGATTCAATTTTTTAGTGAAGTGGACCGTTTTGCAACACTCTGATAATACAATTTACTAAGCTCAGTGCCAGGCAAGGTGAAAAACAGAAGGGTTCTCGTGTCACCTTGATTGAAACTTGAGACCAAATCAGTGCGTTAAAGCAAAGTTTAAACATGAACAAATACTTTTCTTGAAAAATGAAATATAACAATTTCCCCTAAACAGCAAGGCATTGTTGTTTTCTTTGTTGTTTCTTCCCCAAATGTGAGTGAAAAAAACATTTTTGGGGACTTTTTTATCTGTGGATTAATACATATTTGGTAAAGAAATGACTTTTTCCACCATTAGAAAAGTGTTCGTGGGATTGAATAATAAAAAATGCTATTTGTTGATGTTAAGAAAAATGTAGGTTCTTCTTTAAAACAGGATTACCAAATAGCACACATTTATAAGTATAAGTATAATCAATACTCACATGGCATATATATACTGATTGAGTCCAGCAAAAATAACCATTCCCTCAATATATTTTGTCCCTTAGTGTAAAACTAACTAACAAAATCCAACACAGCTGAAGATAAAATTTTAAAACAAATCGGTGTGGTATCTTTCAACTTGAATCTTTTTACTGAGAAATCCCCCCCTTGTGTTTCTCTGGACAGGGTTCCTTGTAGAACCACAAATTAATAAATTCTCGAAGTGACATGTAGATATTTTATCCAGGACAAAGGCCCCCACAAGCCACATATCAGAACTACCCGACCCAGTTGAATAAGGGAGAACCGTCACGTGGTGTTGTGTGGTCTTCATTAAACCAAACAAGTAAACAAACAAATTATTCACAGCGAGTTAGTGACCCCTGGTGCTGAAAACTGAAGCCCATGTGGAAGAACCAAACTGGCAGGTCCCCAATAGTCAACATGTTTACAACCTAGTTAATGAAAACAGTTTCTACATCTGATGTCCCGTTAATGACACCTGTACAGGGAGTTTGCAGTCCTATAGAACTCATACGTTTCAATTGTACAAAAAGGCTTGAAGTTTTAGACTCTCCATGCAGCTTTATCTGTTACAACTCTTTTTAGCCCCTTCATTCACTTTCTGGTTACCTTTCGATAGTGCCGAGTTCTACTTTTTAGCTTATTTGACTGATACATTAAAATATGTGAGATTTAATCACAACATATCTGGGGGACATTTAGACGTAGGGATTTGCTTTTGCTAGGAACTTGGGCTGTAGATTTTCAGTATTTAGAGGATGAATGAATACAGCAACAAGTAACTGAACATGAAACGGCATTAGAGTGTAGACGGACCTGAAAAAAAATGTAATTCCTGAAGGTGCTGTGCATGCCCGTCGACCGATTCTGCTTTTCCTCCTCAGGCCACAGAAGCGGATGTTCTCCTCATTATTCCGCTCCGCATGGATTTGATCCCACGGCTCTGCCAGGCTGCTTCTTACATGTGGTTTTCTTTGCTCCCCTCCTTCTTTCTTTATTTCCATTAACACACCTACAAAATGCCTGAATCAATATATTTCCATCAGCCAGCAGCTCTATATGCTTGATTCTTGAACGAGAAAAGAACTTCTTTAAAGTTTTCTGAAGTCACCCAAACAAACAAGCGTGTTCTGACAGTTATACCTGAATTCCACTATTGAGCCACCTGGATGCAGGCAGTGCATTCTTGGCTGCGGCACTTTACTCTTTGTGCAAGAGGGAGTTCTTGCTTGTGGAAGTGACTTTTTCTTCCTCTACTGTATAAACATCTATATGTATCTATTAAGGAAGCAAAAAAGAATATTTTTAATATTTAATCCGTATTAATTTTTTAAAATTTGTATTCAAGAGAATGGTTGAAAAGTCACTCTGAAAATAAATCTTGGAGTGTAATGTAGCATACTGTATATTAAAAGTCCTTTTTTCAGTCGGCTTAAGGATGTTGAAAATGTAAGGACTAATCCAATATTTCATGCATTTCTAATCATGATAAATGAGTTGAGGTGGAGGAGAGGGGATTCAGCCTTTCATGATATCAAAGCTTCTTGTCCGAAAATCTGTATTCAAGCCACTAAAATCTGGCTCTCTTTTAATAATATCATGATAGGAGGTTTAACACACTGACGCGCCCATCTAATGTATCTTTGCACAGGCCCGACATGTAACTAGAGACTTGGTTACTTCTCTTCTGTCCATTTAAATGGGAAGTTTAATGAAATATTTAAAAAGAGACTTCTCATTTAACTAAACCATGAACACAACTGCATTTTTGCACAATCTGTATCACTAGTTATATATAGTCATGACAACAGATCAGTTATTTTGTTTTTGTAGACGATCAACACTTTGTCAATCTACACATGCCTGTCTAGGAGAGATACTGGCCTCAAGATCTGTGGGCAAATTTTAGTCTTGGAGACATAATGTCTCTAAAATGTACCACAGTTTATATTTGAAACAAACGGCACCCTGAGACTTAAGCGTGCATAGGACAAAAAAAAACAAGACAGTAAGTAAGTGAGTCATGACACCGACTTTTCATTATATGGTGGGGTGGTTATTTCAGAATTTAATCTGTTATAGCAGTGGTCCCCAAACTTTTTTACCTCACGGACCGTTTTCATGTCAGACAATATTTCGCGGACCGGTCGAGAAGGTCCGACGGGGGGGTGGGAGGGGTGTAGTAGTCGCGCGCTCTGTGTTCGCTGGTGGGCGAAACCGCCGTGCACGGTAAGAGGACAATTGTAAACGTCAAGAAAAACGCCTGGTGACGCGTGGGGAATCTGTCAGAGGGACGAGCGCACATAATTAGGAGAAAATCCGGTCAATTTTCAAAATAAAACATTTTTCAGAAAAAAAAAAAATATATATAAGCTTTCTGTGGTGCGGCCCGGTACCAAACGGCCCACGCACCGGTACCGGTCCGCGGCCCGGTGGTTGGGGTCCACTGTGTTATAGAACCACAAATATCTGCTTAAAAGACTGCATATTATTCTCTGGATTATTTAAGAAAACCAATAACCATTCAATGTGAAATGTGTGTCCTCTGCACTGGTTGCAGGCAACAGTTTAAAGGTAAATTGATCTTAAATATTGGAAATATCCTGGAGATGAGTTGAATCGTGCAATACTGTACAAAACTGTGAGAACTCACAAAGTTGCAATACATGAATGACCATAGGAATGTAGGAAACAGCTACAGCAGCTTGGAGTGGTGGACTAGAACACACTGATGATGTTAGCCTGTGAGATTAAATTCCCTGCTAGCACTTTACATGAGTCAGACAAAGCTTAAAACCTGTAGTTTCAGTCTTTAGGGAGAACGGTGGAAAAACAGGCTGTGGTGTATTGTAAGTGGAATTGCATTTTATCACAGTTTTATGCTTCTTGAGAGTATACAGTACATTTTACATATAGCATTTGTATTGTTATTCATGGTAAAATGAGTGTTATTGATTTTTTTCAAGGAGTGATGAATCCACACATTTAGTTGCTGTTGCGTTCTTAATTTATTCTGTTTTCAATTCTCACCATTTGCACTGGAAATCAACGGATGTGTGTTCAAATGGCTTTTAAGCTTGTCGGGATTGCAGATAGATAAGGAAGTATTATCGTTGACTGAGTGAAAATATATCTGCTCTCACTAAGCCTGGTATCCCAAAAGCACTGGTTCAAATCCAACCATATTTCAGCATATTGATACATTTACAATGAATACAAAACAGACGAGAAAACCCTTTCTTGTTTTAACAAAGTATGCTAGCTGTCCATACGGACACAGGGAATCTGAGTGCTTAGATGCCTTTAAAGTGGGCCCCAACCTGCAGAAAATGTGAATTGTTTTTGATGTTTTTTTGCAAAGACTAAAGAGTTTTGTTATTGAGAGTCAAAGAAAGTGAACATGTATTCCACCTGTAAGAAATATTCAAGTTGTTAAAAGAAATAAAAGCAAAAGAATGCAAACTAATAGACATTTTGATTCCTTTCTTTGAATATGTGCAATTTAATTGCTGCCTATTTACTAAATGTATATCTGCATGCAATTGACCGTTATCTAAACCTTCTTCCCTATATACGTAGCTAATCTCTGCCTTAACAGTTTTATCTGGGTGCAGCAGGGCGGTCAAGCTTTTTGTCTTTTTGACAAGCTATTTTTCTGAAAATTCTGGATAAATCCATCAAATGCACATTGGAGATGCTTTGTCTGTTTCTCTCTGAAATTGCTTTTCCTTTACTTTAGATTAATTAGATAATATTCATACAGTTTGAGACAGTGTGGAGTGTGGAAGCTGCTTAGCAACCGGTCAATTGATGTCCTTCAAAAATCTTCATTCCCAAAGCTGCCATGTTAACATAACGTTACTCCAGTATGTACATTTTCTATAACGAAACAATTTT